TAATCGTACATGTCAGGCAGCTTTCTGACAACGTGGGGTTTGACTCTCATTAAGACAAAGCAGCCACACAAAACACTTTTTATAATGAAGGAGTATTTTAAATGATTTCTAATAAGATTTTCCAAAATCCATAAATACGCTCTTTTTTGATCTGCCGTGCACTTAGAAGAGCCGTGTGTTGTATGAGACTTACAGGGCAAACACTGACATAGAGACTTGCTGGGGATGGGGAACAGCCACTAGAGCCAATTACACTAAACTCCTAAAACACATAAAGCATGTCATCAAGGGAGATCAAAGTGCCTTTCATGGGAAGGAAGAGCTATGGTCTGTCTTTTACCCATGGGAAAACGCTGGGGAAGAAATTATCCGGCCAGTTCTATAGCAGCATTCTTTAAATGTTAACCTCAGAGTTTACTTCACATTTGTCGCAGCTTCCTATACGCCCTCACAGCATCTTGTGAGCTCTGCCCACACTTATAGCTGCCATTACACATTTGGAGGACTAGGCAAGATGAAGAAGGGGGAAAAGTCTGCATAAGAAACAGAACACAGTCAAACCTATGCATGCAACAAGGTAGCACCCACTATAGGTAACTAATGTGTATTCACATTAGTGTATGTAGTGTATAACTAATGTGTATTGCATCGCGTATATGCTGTGCAGTTGCTCCCACTAAAAAAGTTTAAATAGTGATGGAAAAATATTTTTGCAGACTTTGTGGTGCATGTTATCAGTTGTAAATCATTGCTTTGGATTCTGAAGAGCCCCATGACTATGAAGAATCCTCAGTTTTGATATGCGTTAGGAATATACCATGATGATAGTACCAAGGTTTTTCCTTCAAATCACTGTGAGTCTTGGGGTTTCATAGTCGTGACTGGATCAGCACAAGCAGCACAGTTAGCATTAGATAGATATTTAGTGGAGCACCTTGTTCCTGGATAATTTAGTATCTTGGAAGTGATGAAAAAGCACTGAAATGAGTGATGATTAGCTCAATTATTCCTCACCTTAATGAACTAAAGAGTTCCTTAAACGTTATTTCCATGTTTTTGTATTTGTCTCAGAAGGGGACATAGTGGCAAAGCATGCAAAAGAAGTCCAGCTCCGCACACAAGCAAACAGTCATGGAGCAATGCTCAGATAACTCGGGATGTGCATGCACACTTATGATCTCCAAAACACCATATTTTCACATGGGCAAGCCAGTCCTGATATAACCAGAATGCTAGATATTCTGTATGTTTCTGCTGACTTTGGCCAACACTAAGCCCTTCAGAGGTTCATGTAACATTTGGGAAGTGCTGGAGCACAAGGAAGCGCTGCTGATGTTTGAAGCTTTTCTGTAGCTGGCATAGGCTGGATGATGAAGACCCATTTATAGCCATCTCTCTCTCCCTCAGGCTTTCTCAGCTTCATTGACGAGTTGTGATTCTGCACCTTCTTTTACATGGACTTGGCTGGCTCTGTCTCAAGGGAAAAAAATACCAAAGGATTCCATGGAGATTCTTTTCTGCATTTATTTGCTTAAATCCTTCCTTACTCACACAGGACATCTGATTTAAATGATATTTTTAACAATTATTTAACAATATTTCATAGTTTATATATCTTATATATATAGTTTATGTGAAATATATAGTTTATACAGTTTATATAGCCTATATACCTTATGGCTACATAGGCTATATATATATATCAGTTTACAGTGATTGAGGACTAAGAACCCTAGGCAATTTCATGCAACAGTGTGGATGGAAGGCTGCTGGCAGCAGGAAAGCACCCACACGTATTCATTGCCTTCCATGTAAGCTGGAGCTCTGTTGGCACATCACAGACAGTCCTGGTGGAAAGATCCACTGCATCTATTAGCAGTGCAGTTGCAGAGGGAAGCATCACCTTGGCCACCTCTGCTCGCTTCAAGTTGCTGCTTTCTCCTGTCACGATTTTGGGATGGTTTTGCTGTCTCTCCCTTTCACTCTGCAGGGACTTGCACTTCCAATCCATCTTCTCGAATGACTCCGGAGGGTGTTTCCGGGAGGACCTTGTCTCTTGAATTTGTTTCCCTTGTCTGATTCACAGGGTGTAAGCGTGTTTGATCTCCCAGGGCCGTCGTTTCCAGCAGCTCCCTGGGGCTCCATGAAAGGGGAGTAAGGAAGAAGAGTTCACATATGCTACACAGAAATCTCCATATTTTAAAGGGTATCCTGTATCCCCACTGGAATATTTTTAATGGTCCACAAATCAGAAAGAGAAAAAAGGGGAAAAAGATTGAAACCCACACTTAAGGCATTCATTGTTCAAAGCCCAGATCTTCTGGGGGCCGCCGTCTTCATGAAGGCTCCATGGGGCCATGATCTGAGGAAGTCTGTGCTGAGATCCGACTCCAAGACCCCTCTTGCCCGGGGCTGGATGGGGGTGCCGCACTCAGGCACACACTGTTTATCTTTCAGGGATACGTTCCCATTTTTGGTAAAGGAAACAAGCGAAAAGATTTCCAAGGAAGAATATGCAAAGGTATTAGTTATGGAGATTTATGCCCTGCTTATGACAGCCAACAGGGATTTGGTGAAATGTGTGTTAGAAGAGGTAAAAGCTTGTTTTATTCCTGTGTAAAACTCCTGGAGCTGAATTCTGCTTTCCTTGTGACATACTTTGATGAGAGTTAACAGTTACCAAGGCTGGCCAAGCCAAAAATGGCTGCTGGGGTTTTCAGGGAACTAGATGATCTTAAGGTCCTTTCCAACCCTAACGATTCTATGATTCTATGATTCTGTGTCTTCTACTTAAGTCTTTGGTCACAAGGTAGTAAGAAGAATTGTCAGGATGCTCCAGCTCTTCAGCAAGGAGATATATCTTGTGGGAATGATACATAGAGACTGGATTTAATCTTACCTGTACGCAGAAGTGCAGTTACTAAGATTGAAGAAGCAATATTCCACAGGAAGTAAATTATGGGACTGGCCAACAGTTTTCAACTTATTGTTTAGACAGAGAGAAGCATAATCTTTCCTTGTGAAATTGTGAGAATAGATTCTCCAGATGTGTCCACTGTCATCTATAAATGCTTTCAAAATATGTTTGTTTACAAAGTCTACCTACAATTGGGATTTACATATAAAAATGTGTTGCAAACATCTGGAAATTATTCTACTTCCGGGTCAGTAACTGACTAAAACAGAAATAGTTGGTAATTATGCAACCAAAATGCAATTTCATTTGATTTCTGAATGTTCTGAATAAAAATGTACTTTCTATAGCTATTCTACATGAATAGGAAAAATATTTGTTGGCAGGTCAAAAACTGATATTAATGTTTCCATAGTAAAATGTGCAAGCCCTTGAAAATATTGAGATTCTGGAAAGGTTCAACAGCTTGTAGGGAATTCCCATTATTTCAGCAGAAAAATTGCTAAAGTAACTACTCATTTGCTAAGATAGCATCTTTTGCAAATACCCTCCAGTTAAAACTCCTAAAAAAAGGGACACTTCTCCCGTCCTCCCTGCCCTTGCAATGCCAGGAATACCACCAGTGCCTGGTCAGGTGTTTGGTACTAGATAAGCTGCTTTCACAAGGAAAAACACCTTTTCTCTTGCTTATCTATGGAATACTTACTCTCTGCTTTAGCTGCTCTCACAAGCCATCGGCCAACATGTGTTTGCTCTTCCCAGGCAGAGCACAAATGCAACCCTTTGCTGCCCTTTCTTTCTCCCCTTTGGAGACATTCGCCCTCCTTCAGATGCCACTTTCATCCTCCTCCTCATCCTGGCTGAGGAAGGCCAAAATGTGCCAGGTGCAGAGGGGACACACAAGGGAGTCCTTATGAGCTGATGAAGGGACACGAGCATCCAAATAGTGTCTCATTTCAAAGCAGAAGAGGAATCCATGGCCGTGTCCTGTGATTATACAGGGCTCTAGAGACCTCTCGTGGACAAACACATTTGTTTCCTCTATGTGACATGTTTGCCTTAAGGATAAGTTGCATTTATTCCTCAAGCCTTAACCCAGTGTGGAATTATTAGCTGTCTATGATGCACAAAGTCTGATTCTGGTCTCATGGTGATGATGAAACAACTCACTTTTTGAACCATTTTTATCTACTTTCTCAATTGCCTTGTTCTGCAATTTATTCTTATGTTAGGATCTTTGGAGTTTGAAGTGGTAGATGGCAGTGGAAATCATTCGTATCTATGTAGCTGCCTTACTGCTCTTCACCAAAATGCGCTTTGATTTTCCTAATAATTTAACTTTCAGCACAAAAAAGGTGCTACAGGAGGAAGGATTAAAAAAAAATACTAAATTTTATTCATATATATTTATTGTTCACCATAAATTATTTGTAATGTAGTATTCTTTCTTATCCTAAAACCCTACCGAGATCCATCAGTTTTGTTCACATGTTCCTCTTCATTTTTAATGCCAATTTTTCCTCTGTTACCAAGCAGAAAATTTCCTTCAACCAGAGAGAAATCTGGGGGCTCCTAAGCATTTCTTAGGCTGGCAGGAGGTGTTCAGTGGTTGAAAACCACCAGTCTTAAACAAGGAATAAATCAGAGACTGGATTTCTATTTATTGATGAAAAAAGCTCAACAGTTTTCCCTGCAAAATGTTAACCTGGTTAGGTCCAAGCCCCAGGAGGTGCCTCCTATGAGAGGAGTGTTATACTAAAATCCACATGTCTATACCCATCTGCCAGTGCAGGGATAAATTGCTCTTTCTCCAGAGATTATTTGACTTTTTCCATGATCCGCCTCATTTTCCAGTTCCATCCTTTCCTCACTTAGGTGAATTATTGTTGACCCTTGATGTTTTCAGTTAAGGAAAAGCATGAGGAAGAATGGCTGTTTTCTTCACTACCCTGGCTTTGCATGAAAGTGCCATAAAATTTAAAAAAAAAAATTATTAAAAAAAAAGCTTTATACTGACAAAAAGTTTTATACCGAGGAGGTGTAATTAGAGTGCACTCGGTTCTCAGTGTTTATCTCCAGCCTCTGTGAGCAGCCCACTGTGTGGAAGTCAAAGGCAAGGTAATTTTTCTTTTTAATACTGCAGTAACTCTAAGCTATTTTAAGAGAAAATCTGCTGAGAATTTTGGACAGAAAGCTACATTTCAAAAATAAATTAAAATCTTGGCAGGAAGAGCTTGATTTCACAGGAAAATTTCGATGTACTAGAAAGCTAAAAACCACACGAGCGGGACATATTTCAGCTGAACACGCTTTGATTTTTGCAGGGGAAAAACACAGATTGGGCACTTCCTTTTGAATTCTTTTCTGCTATTTTTCTGCAGGGGAAAGGAAAGGACCTGGCAATATTTTTTTCATCGTCCTTTGTGGCTTTGGTTGGAGGTGTGAAGCTTTAATGGGAATTGGGAAGCAAGGGATAAAGCTGTTGAGGTTCAAAGCTGGCTCTCCATTTCCCAAGCTGTGCTAGGAATGCTTTATTTACTGTGCTTTAAGCAGATTTTATGTGGATTTTTAAGTGGATTTGAGAGTAAATTTTTCTCTTCAGCAGTTTCTCTCTTCAGCTCCCACACCTGTGTAATTTTTAGCATCAGTTTTTGATTTATTCTTGTCCTTGTACTGACTCCAAACAAGAACATTCTCACAGTAAAATTATGAGTATTTTCTAGACTGGAGCAATGTGGTAATGGGGATTTTAATTATTTTTTTCTGGGTTTTTTTTTTTTTGACCCTTTATTGCAGTCCTGGCTATCAGCTGTATCCAGGCCAAACACAGATCTGGAATCGCAGATTCTTGCCCCATTTTTCTCTCTATCTTTGCCTAAAGCTTTCTTGTTTCAGTCTGACAAACCACCAAGAACTTTGAGTCTGAATATTATTTTTTTGGGGTACATCTTATCAGCCAATTAGGGTTTTAATTTAAATGTACAAGTGCCTATCTCTCCGTTCGCAGTTATTCTGCCTGATATAAAACAATTGTTTGGTTACAGACCTCATGAATCAATGTTATCATGACTTGTGAAGTATCTTATTTGCTTTGCGATATGAATGTTTAGCGTATTTTTGAATTCTATTTTCTTGGTCCTTACTTTTATGGGCCATGAAAACCAGAGTGATCTCAGCAGGCTATTTTCCTGTTGTTAAGCCCTGAACCCTAATCTGAAGGAAACAAACCCAGCTCCTCTTATTTTCAAACAGATAAGATTTGCGAGGTTATTAATCACAGGTTCAAATGGCTACATTGGGAATTGAAAATGATATACAGTTTTATATAAAACTTGTCAACATTTATTACAGAGACGGACCATCCGTCCAGTGGGAGCCTTAGAAAGTCATTATGTGTCTGGTGTATGATAAAGAGCCATTTAACTGCATAAACAGCCATGACATCATGCTGAACTTACATGTTCTTTCATCTGCCCCTAAATGATACCGTTTCTTTTTGGCTATTGCCCTGAACTTTGATTTTGGATGGGGGAGTTCTTTCTCCTCCCATGTATCATTTAATCTATTTTTCCTTTTTAAAAATAGAGCAAATCACTGTTGTTGGTTTTATTTTTCTTGAAGATCTGAGAGAGCTTTCTGGCTGGATTCAGAGGATTAGCTCTTGGGCAGGTGTAAATCAACATTATCCCACAGAAGTTGTCTTCCATCAGACAAGGTTTTAGCTCATGGTGTTTAATCTTGGTGAGTTTGTATGCTGGAAAATATGAAGTTATGTCCTCCCCCACATAAACAGATCCTGGTGGGTGCTGAACATATTGGAAGAAGATAAGTTTCAGATCGCTTCATTTCCTTTCTCAGCCTTACTCCTCAGACATTAAACCTTTCTCATGGGTGACTGATACAGTAGGGCTACCCAATCCACTGTCTATACCAACAGTTAATAATGAGATATGCCAACAACAAATAATAAGATAACTTAAAAAGGAGATTAATTCCTTTTTGCTGTAGTGCCCAGTAGCCTTTCGCTGGAAAGGCTTTCAACATGCAGTGTAACATCACCATTACTATGACCACATTGGTTAAAGCTCTCATAAACATCCCACCCAAATCTCCCAGTGACCATTTGGTGCTGAAATAAACTGCCAACATTGTTTGAAGAGGATGGAGTGTATGCATATGTCCATATACATTTTTAGAGGTACTTTGCAGAAGCTCATGATGGGAATGGATCCTTTGCAGGGATGCCACGGTGCAGTCACAACCACTATGGGACACTCCGGGCTCCATTTACTGCCAAGGACTGTGCTGGAGTAGCTGGTGATAAGATCACAGTATGCAATAAACCTCTCAAGTCCCTTCCAAGGGATAAAAAAAAGGGAAGTGAAGTGTTTTAAGTGCAGCCAGATTGCTGTCCTCGGCTGGGGAGAAAAAAGAAAAAGCAATGAAACTGGTATTTGGAGAAGTGGTCTCTGAACTGTGTAAAATTGTGTTTGGCATTGAGAAATTGAGTTACGTGGGGACTAATAAATGTAGCTTTTTGCAACTGGTGGTGCTGCAGCCTTGAACTGGCATCCGTGGGGTTGCGGATACCAAAGGGCAAAGATGTGTCAGAAGTGAAATGGAGAAACTGAGATAAGAACCATGCAGAATGACAAAGATTTCCTCTTTCCCTTTCTGTGATTCCTCACTCCAAGAGGACAAAGTGCAGGAATGCTGCTAGAAAATTGATGGATTTTCCCTCTTGCACACAAAAAGAGTGTTGTTAGAGCAGAGAGAAAGAGTGATGTGTCTTACACCAAAGGTGTCAGTGGTTCCTTTGCAAAATCACAAAAGGAAAGTAATAACAGAATTAATAATAGGGCCCTAATAGACTTGTGTCTCTTCTCAGCGGAAGCTTCTACAGAAATCTTTCACAGCAAACGAGAGTCTTCGATTTTCACTTTTTTTTCTGGAAAAAGTAGTATTTTACATTGCTCCCTAAATAATGGGCAGCTAGTCCTTCTTCCCTGCACACACGCTGCAGTGACAGAAGGCTCTTATATGTTTGACTATTATCTGGTAGAAAATATCTGCAGTCTTTAAAAACCTTAAAATAGCAGAAAAATCAACGTAAGGAGAGGGAAGATCTTGTTAAAAATGGGACTTCTACGAGATTTTCCAAGAGATGGATCATGGAATCATAGAAGGGTTTGGGTTGGAAAGGACCTTAAGATCATCCAGTTCCAAATGCCCTGCCATGGACAGGGACACCTCACCCTAGACCATGTCTCCCATGGCTCTGTCCAACCTGACCCTGAACACTGCCAGGGATGGAGCATTCACCACTTCTTTGGGCAACCCATTCCAGTGCCTCATCACCCTCACAGTAAAGAACTTTTTCTTTGTATCGAACCTGAAATTCACCTCTTTAAGTATGAACCCATCACCGCTTGTCCTGTCTCTACAGTCCCTGATGAAGAGTCCTTCCCCAACATCCTTGTAGCCCCCTTCAGATATTGGAAGGCTGCTATGAGTCCTCTAAGATCACAGTCACAGAAGTCCTTGGGATGTGACCAGGGTTTAGTCAGCCATGACTGTGTCCAAGATGTGCACCCCACACCTCAGAGGAGTTTCAAAGTCTGCCCTGAGCTTCCTATAGCCATAACATAGTGACCTCAAAGGGCAAAGCACTAGTACAAAACACTGACAGTAGAGTAGCTCTTCCCTGCATCATGGATATTCAGTGCAGATAACCCTCCTTACAGCCATCAGCTGAGGTTTTCCTGTTGCCATTGCTGTTTAAGTATTATACTTGCTGTTGGAAGAAGATATTTTCATGAGCTGGCTGCTCATGAAGTCCATGGTGGTCATAAGCAGCTGAAATGGCTGCATCTGAGTGTAATATTTCTTGGAAATAAGAATGATTTGCGTCTATAAATGGATTCTATCAAAATCCAGACACTCAGTTTAAAGGGAAAAACATGTATGTGGGAATAGACATATTATTGAGGCTTTCTGTTTGTGTTTGTAGGTATTTTTCTCTGAAATGCACATATAATTCTGAATTCAAAGATTTTTTTAATACAAAAGACAACTTGGTTATTGACTAAAACTGATGCTGTAAAATGTTCCACTCTTTGGTAGAAAGAGGTTCACTGTTTATGCAATTCTAAATTCTTCCTTTTAAAATAAAATTTACAGCCTCCTGAAATGGTTTGCACAGACCTCCCAGGCTTTGATTTCTCACTGAGTTTTTGAAATACATATCAACCCCAGGACTGGTAACAGACTGGAATAATTATACTCAATGGTAGGTGTTAATGCCTTTGACATTGCCTTCCAGTTGTCTTCATGCTTGTGAGAAATTTATGTACCAAATGCCTGGCATTTTACTGCCAAACTGTATTCTTTCCAGTGCTTTTAGTGATTAACGTCCATGCCATGAATCTACTAGTTCATTTTTCATAGCAATTCTTCAAGTCAGATTTATTTCAAAGAAGAAAACAAGGCGTGGGCTACAAATTGCTCAAATTGTAGTGAGGTTTCAGAGGAAGGTTAATGCCTCACGTATTCACTGTGCATTGATTGCACAACAGAAGCAAAGCTGGGGGGGTTATCTGGGGTGCGCTGTAACTCCAGACAATGTGCCGAAAGGAAGCCTCCGCATCTGCTGAGACATGGATTTGGGAGGACATCTAACAACAACAGTCTTTGTCTTTGGAAGATGCTGTTGTTGGTTTTCCCAGGGTTAAATATCAGCGCTCCCGCTGCAAAACCATAGTGGAGATGAGAAAATTCAGTGTTTCCATGGAGTAAACTCAGCTATGGTGGCACTTGGTCCATCTCCTGGGTGGAACTCACAGTCAGCACATCTGGAACCTCACCTCTTCTTGCTTGATTGCATGAAATCAGTTCCTTCTCTCCGGAACTCCTAGCTCCTCTATCTCCATTTCAGGCTTTACAGCATGATAATGCACTATCTCAGTGCTTAAAACCAAAACAGACCAAGAAGAGGCTTAAGTGCCTGTGCCAGCACACAATGGTTTAAATGTAAACGTGTTTCTGTGTGGTGTTCACTTGGGGGGAGGATGACTTTGAAGGAGGGTTGATCATGTGGGTGACACCTTCAACATAGACAAGTCACTTCACCTGGAGAAGTCAGATCTTGATGAGGTTTTGCATTAGATCCCGATTCCAGAAGATCTGAAAAAGCTGCTTTTTAGTCCATGGAAACCAGCGCTGAGGTGTGGCAGCATCTGATTATGTCAATTTTCTTATCAGGTTCTGACATGTTAAACATTTCTGATGGTACTGGGGAGACTATGAGGGTATTTAAACACCTAAACAGTTACACTTAGTCTTCAACCAACACACTGGTCTGTCAATACTGATGCTCCAGGCAAAAGTGTTGAGTGAAAACTACGTGACAAGTAGTAAAATGAGGCATGGAGGAGGAGTAACATCTCCACACCTTCTGTACTTATCAGAAGGGATTTGTTGAGCATATGTCCCAGAAAGCAGCATCTGCAGCCCACGTTTATGGCTCTGGTGTGTTTGCGGACGTGCTCTCCAGAAGCCTGCTTGGCTTCAGGATAGCTGCATGCAGCATACACAAACTAGCTGCTGGGCTGGAAAATAAATACAGCACCCTGGAGCATTTGTCACCTTCCACAAGTGTTTCACCAACTACCTTACTCCTCGGTGACACCTCATTTTGACTGTCAGTTTAAAGAAACCTGATGCCTCGATGGGCACGTTAGGCTCTCCAGGGGTACACTGGTTCTCTTTCCTCTTCTTCTTTCCTGTATAGGGACTTTTCTAGTCACCCCAGGATTTGATTATTTCAGTGTCTACTGTCCACGTACCATAGGTAACCCAAACAATCTTTATGTACATCATTTCCAGAACTTTAGAGTAATTTTGAAGTAAAAAAAAAACATAACAGGTATTTCAAAGCTCTTGCTTTTAAAGTTATCAGAAGTGAGGAAAGGGGAGGTTGGTGGGAAGCTGTTTTCCTCTTGGTCCAGGAAACTTTGAAGAGCTTTGCTGAAACAGTAGAGTCCTTAAACAATGTTTTCAGCTACACTCCATCAAATAGCATGGCTAAGCAGGGAAACAGCCAGACCTCTGAACTACTTTTGTGGCTCCTCATCACTCACTTCTGTGCAGGACCCCTTCATAACAATGATCTCAAATAGTAAGGCAGGAGGCATACTTAATACATGAGCAGCGTTTCCTGCCAGACCTCAGCTAATCTCAAAGAAACTGTAAATGATCCTGCATCCAGGCAGAGCCATGGGTTGCACTGCAGTCATTTTATTTTCACTAATACCTTAGCTGGGTGTAAATGCTGAGGAGGTCCTTTGGCTTAGACCTCTGAGGAGGATGTGATACAGATGAAACCTCCCTATGGGTTGAAAGAGACCCTGTAAACCAAAAGCAATGGGGTTTAAGTTAAAAAATGAGAACTATTCTCGGACTCATTTATCTCCCCCTGCAGTGAAATAGCTGCTGGGGTTTGGTTACTTTGAAGTCTGAATTAAGAGAGGAGGAGGGAGGTTGATATCTGGGGAAAGACGTTGATCCAAACGGTGGTCTCTCCTGGGTTAAGAACAAAAGAGCAATGGGTGAGGTGGTAAGAAGCAGCTTCTTAGGACACAGGACCCTCATGGTGGTAACAAAGATATGTCTCCAGACCTCCCATCTTACTGTGCAGGAAGATAGTTTAGAAAAGCACAGCATCCCAGTGCCCGCCTTCCACCTCCTCCGCCAACTTTACACCAAAATATCTATAAGCCTGCCTGGATGAAGAAGATGCCAAATTTTTACCAAATTCTCCAGCTTTTAGCTGGGTTTACAATCCTCATCTTGAGGTTGGAGGATGCAAAGTCACTTTTTGGCATGTGGGAGCTGCAGGGTGGCCACAGACAAGTTGATGACAGACTCGGCTGGGTGTTTCGGGTCCAGTTGTTGGCCAGGGGTGGGAGACTGCATCCCTCTGTTTAATAGAAGATAATCAGCTCCTGTGGGACACAGACTAGCAGGGCTGAGCCGAGAGCAGCAGTCGGCACCACTGTGGCATATTTCCTCTTGCAGATTAAAAGCCCTTTCTATAACCTCAGCAACACCCGCGGCCAAAAGCATTGTTTTAGAGAGTGCTGTAGATGCTGCCCATTAAAGAGCAATTAGCCTGTGTTGGATGCATAGCCTGCTCCCTCTCCCAGATGGCTAGTTATTAAGATATTTATGGTTAATATGGATTTCCCCTGCCATAAATCACCAGCCTTTATACCTGCAGGGAAGTCATGGCAATCAGTGACCCCGCTCAGTCGGCCTGGGCAATGAGTGCTGTCTTGTAAAGCAAAGATTGTAACAACTTATCGTCATCGTAAAAACAACAGGAGAGGGAAAAATCCCAGTGCTGGTATCTGATAACATGCTGTAATCAAGCACTTGCATATCCTCTTTGAGGAGGCTGGTAAACGGAAAGTTACACAGATTCATTTGTCACTTGGGGAACTTCTGGACAAGGAGCCAAAGCCTGTTGCAATTAGATGGGTGGGAGGATGGAGGAACAGTAATGGGGATGCCAGAAGGCATGGGGTGCACCTCACCCAGCACAGGGAGATGCAGGAAGCAAGTTTTAAGTAATTCTGCTGGGGACTGGAACACCAGCCTCAGGGACATGCTACAGAAGGTGCTGCAGGCTATAAATTATTCCCAAATCAAGGTTGTCTTGACATGTGTACATGTTTTTCATGCAGTTTATATGCTTTGAAAACTTGGGTTATATGTATGTCTCAAAACAAACCCTCTTCAGCCGTATTAGGTATGCCCATAGCACACTGTTTAGCTCTTGTGTTTGGCAGTTGGGTGTAGACTGTCTATAAGCAATGGGAAAGTACGAGGATTATTTCTACCTTTGGGGCTGATCTCATCTGCACCTTGTGATTTTGCTGTTATCAGAAACTAATATTCATATCAACACTGACCAGTTCTAACCGCAGATCTCCAAAACAAGGAAATCATATTCTCTTTCCCCTCTCTTTTAATCTATCTGGGAAACGTTAACTTGGTGAAGTAGCTCTAGAGAACATGGCTTAGTGGATAGCAGGGGATGACACATCCTCTCTGCAGATGTACAGCTCTCAAGCAGGCTTCCCCCCTTTATAAGACACCAACGGTCCTGCTCATGTTACTGCTGCAAGCTGCATCACTGTGTCTCTGGTCCTTCCTTTCAGGTGTTCCCTCTTGTCTTAAATAACATGACAAGGGATTTCATGTGCAAATCCCTTTAAACCATGACAGCCTCATACAACATGCTTTTTGGGCACTGCTGAGGACAGATAACCATCCTTGCATTCCTCATTACACCTTTCTGTGTTTTTCAGAGGGAAATCCAGACCTGTACAACTGCTTTGCCTTTTCATTAGGGGCTCTAGATTGACGCCAGTAGATTTAATCCTTTGCAACAGGCCTGCTAGTGCTAGTATATTTTCTTCCAGTATCAGTTTACAACTGCTTTAGTAACATCTGAGGAACATGCAGACTTAATACAGCAATGAAGGGATAGAAAAATCATCCTTCAAGGTCTTACTGAGTACACAGAAGTTCTTAAAACGTTAGTGTCAGTAGATGGCACTATTTTATACTTTATGAAGACACAGTGCAGGTAGGGACAGGGCGATAAAGCACAGGAGAGACAAGCACGGATTTCCTCTTTCTCACTCAGTGTAAAAAGGCACCACCGAGATGGGTGCAGAAGAGGTGAGGGGTTTGCTCTGCTTTCCCTTAGCAAACCTTCTGCAAAGGTTAAGGCTTAAGGATGATCTCTGTGATTTATGGTTCTCGGGATGATAAACACCCACTACCATGTGAAGGCAGAGATGCATTTGTGTGCTTATCAAAGATCTCTAGCTAACCCTGACGGAGAAACACTTAAATCACTGCAAATGCCTATGGATGGTCTTATTTGCTCCCTAAAACTTGGTACAAGTGGGCTAAAAAGGGTGGCTTTTTTATTCCTCTGTGGCCCAGAGTTGCTTATGTAGTGATTGAGAGCAGCCTTTTTTCTTTCCAGCTGGGAAGGATTTAAAGGTCTCTCATGTAGAATGGCTCTGGGTGTTTTATACCTTGGCGTAAATTATTCCATGATTAATACTGTGTTGTAACCTCGCTTGAGCTAAATAGAGGAAGGGGGAAAGGTGCAAACTGGGGCAAAATGTGACTTTTTCTGGTATCACAGAACCATAGACTCATAGAATAATTGGCATTCATTATAAAGCAGAGGTAATAACAGTCTGTGTCCCCAGCCTAATTCCTTTACCAGCTGCCGTAATGCCAGCACAATCCTGTCCTGGGTAGGGCATTGCCAGGACAGTCACCAGGTGACTCCAGTTGGAGGCTGGGGCATGAGGGCTGAGTTTGGCCACTATCCATCTGTGTGTCTGTCCACAGGAACTGCTGCCACCGCGGTGGTGCTGGATGCAGCCAAGCGATGCCGTGGGTGTGCAGCTGAAGCCACCCGAGGGACCGAGTCTGCTGTTTGTTGCCATTCCTTCAGAGTTGGCTGGGTTTTATTTTGGGGGCTTTAAAGGTCAGAGAGTTCAAAGTTCAAAAATGCTCTCCAGGGTTAACATATATTGTGCCTTTAAGTAGAAAGAGAGAAAAAAGGGATCTGTCCTTCACTGCTAAATCCTTTTCATTAGGAATTCCTGTCATCCTCTGACAGCGACCTTTTTATTCCCTTTTGTAATTGTGGGTTTTTATTATTATTTTTAATTTTATTTTTATTTTTCCTTTCACCAGAGCCTTTTTTGTTTTGATTCTTGCCATTTATTACTTTCTTTTTCACTTGGCATCTTGGAGAGCTGCTGTCATTTCACTGGTGTGCTACTCTGTCTCTTCATACATATATTGTCTCTTTTTCTGTACTAAAAGCAAACAAAATAAAGCCTGTAGAGCACTAAAACCTCCTGGTCTGTGCTAATACTGGTCAGCAGAAAGACTAAACCATGCCCATTTACACCCAAGTCATTTCCCCCTCTCTGCCCTCCCGCCCGCTCCCTTTCCGTTGCTGATGCAATGGTAGATTTGTAAAAAATCCTGACTACTATACTGTTTTTATCTTGAGGAACATCTAAATCACTTAGAAGTCTGTTGGCTGAACTCAATAAATAAATAGCAGAAAGCTCACTAGTAGCAGTGAGTTATGGCTTTTCTGTCACTGCTGCGCGGGGTTGTATACAGCAGCTGCACTAACAGCAACCCCTCTATTAGCATATGTTTCTTTTAATCCAGTTCAGAAGAATTAAAGCAGTGTTCCCTGCATTGGGGAGCGTGGTGTTTTATAAACTATCCAGATTAAGGTCTGCTCAGGCAGCGGTTTGCTGCCAGTGAGTAGCCACAAGGGTTTGTCAGTGGTCCCCTCTCGCTGCACACAGAGATGCTCAGACCTAATCATGCATGCAGCTCCACTTGCATTTGATGGAGAATATCATATGTATTGGGAATATCTCCAAGGAGTTGGCAGAGCCCAAAGTGGACCAGAAAGTAGGCAGTGTCCTCCCCTGTCGTGGAAGCAAACACAGCTTCATGAGGAAAGTAGAGTCATGCCTGATGCTCCGAATTTCTTTCCATGTCCCTGTATGTGTGTGTGTACAGCCAGTCAGTACAGATGTCTCTAAGTCTGTAGCATAAAGACATCTTACACCTTTATAAATATATATTTATTTCCACTGTGACTGTATACACAATCAGTTCAGATGAAAATAAGTAGGATCTCTATCCTGGCACATCCACTACGTGTATTACCTAAATCATGTCTTTGCGAGTCATTCTGTACATGATGATATATGACAGAGATCTAGTGTAACATATGTTCGTATCATATATTGTGTTAAAATTACATGACATCTGTGATTTAAGGAAGCAAATAACTCACTATTTGCTTGTCTTCTCTATACTGGTTTACTGGTTAAAAAAACCCTAGGTTTTAATTATCTACATTTTAAACAAGTTTTCTGTGCCACTGAACAGTAATGGCTTCATTTGTTTAAATATTCTGGTTTTTTGTCATGGAAAAAGCATAATAAGATATAAAATAGTCTTTTTTTTTTTCCCTTTTTTTTTTTTAATTCCAAGATAATAACATGTCTTGGTCCTGTTATCAACTTTTGACAAAGCTTAGAGTTTTAGGTTCATTTACAGGGTAGTTTTATTACAACCTCATAAAAGACTTTACAATATTTCATTATCTTTTCAACCAAAAGCATTGAGAGAAAATGCTTTAAATAAAAATGCCCATAATTTTCCTGTTCCCTTGTCACTGCCTGAAAACCTTATCAGAGTTCCTCGTTACTTTAATGGTATAGGATTAAGGGTAATGAAGAAACATTTAGGGTTCTGCAAATCACTTTGATTTCATTGTATAATGTAACAGCACTGCTTTTTGATTTACTACTCTGTTGTTTGAAATAACCTATGGCATTTATCAGCCTTGGAGGAAATTCTGTTTCTTTGAACAATTAACTATTCAGACTAAAGTTGTGTAACTCTTATTCTTTTTATTTTCAGAGGATTCCTGGATGAGGAATAACGGACACTCCACTGGATCCTACCTTGATGTTTAGTGGAGTAGAGATGAGTATTTTTATTGCAAGTTTTATTGAAAACTCTTTGATTCTTTAGATATTTTTTCCTTCTGAGGGTTGAAGAAAAGGTCATTGACCATTATTAAATTGGGTTTGCTTCTATATTTTTTTGGTAATTTTCATTTTCTCGTTTTGATTCTCATTTTTCATTTGGCTTTCAGTTCAGATCTGTTTTCCTCACTGCCTGCACAGATTTCTCAGTTTTCTCGCTGAGGGGGATGTTTCTCAAGTTAAAAGAAATGTTTTGAAATAAAACACATTCAAACAGAACAATAACATTTGCGACTATTACAATATTCATAAAATTTAAAAAATCCAAAGAACTCCAGAATCACCCATATACAAAAACTTTTAAACAATGTCACAGTTTTCAAGGCAATGAATTCTGATCTCTCAGCTTTTCCTATTCATTACCTACTGAAGTCCTTTCTCCATCGAGTTTACTGACTTCTGCAGGAAGGTGCTCTGCCTTGAGCTGAATGTGGTGGTATAAAACCAAAATGAGGTGGCTCCTTGGCTTATATTCCTGTCAGTTCAGCCCATGGCACACAGTTTCAGAGCTGTGCCTGATCCTGCACTCTCTACAAAGCAATTTCTTCCACTTGGGATTCAAACTCCTCTGTGGTCTGAGCTGATGCTGCTGCATGACCTGGGTATTAGGAATGCTGAAGCCACCCTGAGTTCACGGGCAGTTCAGTGCGTGCGGCAGCACGCAGGGCTTTAGACAAATTGCTGGCATTGTGTCTAAAATGCTTCAGAGTTCCCCAGTACAGTAAAACCCTTCAAGCAATTTAATAATTGAGGATTAAAATAATTTATCTGTGGTTTTGTTTTTTGCTAGAGTGAGATGAATGTGTAGCTAGACCAGTTCTTTAATTCCCTTTGATGAATTTTTCCCATGGTATGCACTAACCAGGTAAATTTCACTGTCAGTTTGGAAAGCCTTTAAAGTCAGCACAGACTCACTTGAAGTTCAGATGGTCAGGAATTGCCCATGACATAACTGTGGTTGCAGAAAATGAATAATATGGGATATTCCCCACCCTTAAAGGGTTGATCAATGCAACATCTCTGGAGCTGGAGATAGCCAAGCGCAGTAGGTGGGGAAAGAATGTCAAGAGATTCAGGGATGCCTCTGGAGCCTGAAAAGTGGTGAATATTGTTAATAAGGCAGGTGTGTCCTAACAGACACAGGAAATCTTTTATGGAGAAGAAGGTGCTGGACATGACCCTTTGCAGTCCATTTGCTTAAGGCACAGGCACACATTGTAATTCATCCGCTTCCAATCTATGTGGGGAAGGCATCCATTATGCAATTGTGCTTTTAGACCTGTAAACTACAGGATAGATACATCATGAAACAACTTGAATTGTCAGTGTGATTAAAACACAACTGATAATATTACTTTGATAGTCTGTCACTTGGCAAAGATACCATGGGAAACAGCCATCCAAAGTCCTTGAAGCAACTATCTGCAAGAAGCGTTGTAGGCACCTCATGATATGTCCAGTGAAAAATAAGAAATATAGAACATAATCTTATACCCAGCAAGAACACGGTCAAAAACATATAAACAATGTAAGAGCTTAGAACCTATGCCAACTCTAGCTTTGTAAGACTTGGAAAAATATAATCCCATGTCTGTTGCTTGGAAGTCTCTCCACTGAATTTACTGAGCTCAGATTAGTGTCTGTTGGTTTCTAGCTACTTGCTTCATAAATCTTCAATGGTTTCTTTTTAATATCCCTTGTCTTGAAAGCAGAGAAGTAGCACAGGAATCTTAATTTATCAGCATTATTATACCTGTATTATACCTGTATTATACCAGCAGTATAATCCTATATTACTGTTGGGAGATAGATAGCGAAATGCTTAAGGAATCAGGAAACAATTCTGCAGTGTAATCAGTGCTACCAAAACCTCTCTCCCAGCATTTTGCAGGGAGAGGAGCAGGAGAATGGAGAGATTTCAAGCTAATTCTTTCCATCTGGGCTTCATTTACGGATTATGTGGGAAAAGGCGAGATTAATACATTGGAGGAATGAGCACGCATTAGTTTGCCATCTGCGGATGTAAACAGGAAGCCCAACACGTTGTGCCTTAATGTGTGCTTGTTGGTTTAGTGAGGAAAGATGAGTTGACGCCGTGGGTCCTATGTTGAAAATATTTTAGTAAATTCTAATAGGATATTATAAACAAATGTCAGTCCAAAGCTTTTTCAAAAAGGGGAAAAGAACATTGACGTTGGATGCAAAAGCAGCTGATAGGAGGGAAAAAATCCTTTCAATGAATTTGGCAAGAAAAATCTCACTTGTTTGAGCTTATTTTTCTTGAAATTTCTTTTTCTTTTCTTTTAAACTTTCTTTGAATTAAGCATGTAAATGAATCGCCCTGATCAACTTCTGAGCATCTGCTGCTGCTCTTTAAAGACTTTGGCCTCAAGGACTGGCAATGCTTTTAAAACATATGTTTAAGAATAATCCTTTTGTACTGTGATGGCTGAGTGAAGGAGGGATGATTTCCTCTCCTGGCCTTTTCTTTTAGCTTCTCATATGTTCATTAAGACTGGCCCAGACCACCTATGTGAGGTGCAACCCAGAAGTCTCCCTGCTTTACTCACAGGTGATGGGATCCCATCATTTTTCCATGGTTTCCTGTGGGCTGGGAATGTTTCATTTCCTTTAGGCTAAAAAAGCCTGAACCAGGCTGCGTTTGCTCCCAGATTATCCAAAGTGCAATGATGATTTTTGCCTGTCCAGGCAGCAGCTAGCACACTGGTGTTCACAAACACTTCCAGGGAGAAATACTCAGGTCTCTGCACACAAATGATTCTTCCAAGACAGGGGGTGTTTATTTGCTGCCTCTGATTTGAGACAGTGATCGAGACTGGGGACAATAAATGTCAAGCCCTGCCGTTCATAGCTTTATGCAAAGTTCATTTGAGAAATTAGGGCAGGTTGCTTTTATGATTGCTACAGATATTGCACTGTCTTTCTTCATTTTAACCTGCCTATGCAGCAATCGGGATCCACTGGTGTTCCCATCCAGCAAGCTTCGCAGGGTGGCATGCTTATTGCACTTGAATGGGGTGCCCTTCTTTCATGCCACGTTGTTCTTTGTCCAGGAATCTGCTGCAGGGATGTGTTTGGTGGTTGTACAGGATGAATTTCATTTTTAAGGAATGTATGAGGCTGCTAGAATCCCACAAACCTAGAAGATAACTCATTTAAACCTCAGAACAGTCTCCTGTCCATATCCTATAATTATCCTCTTATTAATATTTTTTCAAGTACATATGTGCATGTGTGTACTCATCTACCATTAACTGTAGGGTTTTATACATTTCCACTTCTGACTAATGACTTTTTACAGGCAATGTAATTACCAGTTCTTTTTATTGCTATTATAATGATTCAAACATGCATACCATGTCCAGCTAAAGAAAGGGCTGCTGTAAAATTCTATATATATTTTCTCTACATAGCTTTAAATTAATCCATTTTTATTAGGGTGCTTGGCAAAACAATTAATCGGAAACTGAGTCCAAATAGATTAGAATTTATTGCAGCTCTATAATTCTGAAGAGTGACTTGATGGTTTTAAAACTTTTTTATAATTTATAAAAAAACAAAAAGGCAAACAAATTATCCTGGCTTGAAAGCTGGAAAACCATCCTCCCTTCTTGTGCTCTGCAATCTGAGCCAGCTGAGACGACAAACTCCAACTTTGAGTCTTTCAGCAAGGAAGACTAATGAACTCGGACCAAACAGCGTTTGGGAACTCAGCTCTCAGCAGCTGTGAGGATTCCCCATTTCCCTGCAGATGCTCCTCAGTGTCACAGAGCAGCTCCTTCTGGACATGCAGTGGAGAAGATGGGGCAGAGCTGGATACTCTGTAGGCAGCACCTCAATTCAAGAGGAGATTCATTGATTTGAGTTTTTGAAGGCAGTTGTTAATCAGATATGCAGCAGCAGGGTATCAGAGTTTAGCAACAAGTACTCTAAGCCTTGAGGATTCTAAACTATTCCTTCCTCTTCTGTTTAAATATGACAGTATTTTGTGTCTCTTTATTTCCTATTGAGTTCTTTGTGCAGAAAAGGGAATCCAGTTAAAGAAAGGAGGTACCATTGGGTCTACAATGCCCTGTAAGATGCAGTGCTTGTCTGCAATCCTTCTTGATGAAAGCTAATCCTCGTGGCAAGTTAGTGGGTGCTGAGGGCTCCTGGCACTGCCTGTGGTTGCAATGTTTCAACCTCTGGAGAACCACAAAACCTTTTCTATATATCATGTGCAGTCCTTTACCCAATAGTCACTAAGCCTTTTATTGCCCAAAGGCAGCTGTCTGTCCCTTGGCCGTAGTAGCACGCCTTGGAATGCCACATGCTGTAGTTGCTTTCCCTCACACAAACAAGCAAATCAAGTCACACAGCTCTCACGGGGGACCTGGTGTTCATAAAGGAGCACAAGGTCATTTGTAATAACTAGCAGGAGATGACCCACATGCAGTATGTGAGATCCCAGTACAAACGTACATCTGGCCATCCTGCATTTAAATGGTGTATTTTCTTCCTTCCCCCCCCAATGCTGTCTATTATCCTGACCAGTGTGGACAAGACAAATAGCACCACACACCAATGTGTCTCTGTCAGAGGACGGAAGCGAGAACGAAGGCTGCAAATGCCTTCTCAGAAGTCACTGTTGACCTTACTACTCACACAGACGTTTCTGATTCAAGAGGCGACTCCCCCTGTGCTCCTATGCATTCCCAATTCCTGTATTTGCTTGGTTATTTTTCTTTATCTCCCTGCTTATTTTCTGTTAACTTCTTCCACCAGCAATGGCCATCACTCACTGGGTCACCCCAAGTCATCCTGAATAGGAGCATTGGCAGCACTTCACTTATTAGTCAGCCAACTCATGGGATCCTGGCAACCTTTTTCTCTCTATAAGGATAGGGTCCAAGCTGCTCTTTGATGTTGTCAAACCATGACTTCCACTGGTCTCCCTGCTGATTCCTTTGCTCTTTCTCCCTGGGAGTA